TCACTTACACTCTATAAGTAACACAAGGTGTTCAAATGGGGCAAACCTGAGGGAGGGGGGCTGAGCCAGTGGAGCCCTCACCGGCACATTTAATGCAGGCCACCACCGAAAGCAGACACATGGAGAGAAAAAAAAGGAGCTATTTCCACATGGCGTAAGACTTGAGAGACAAAACATGTATTGGCCAGCACATCCTACCCCAAAGGGCATCCACTGTGCAGAGCCTAGGGTCCAAGCTGAAGCCACACAAGGCAGAATGGTGGCCGTGCAGTCCAGAAGCCACACAGCACAAGAGGCTGCTGGCCTGCTCAGCAGCCACTGGGGGACAAATGGGAGCTGGCCACATGGAAACAGAACCTCACCTTCTGTCGACGCCAGAGCAATGCATGTGACAGACAGGAAGGAAGAGTGACCAGAGACCAGGGACAGGGGCCACAGACGTGTGAAGAGTAAAAGGAACCAGGCTGACCCAAGTTCCATCTCTTTAAGTCATGTGGTGGCTCCATTCTGCACCTATCCAACCCCCCCCCACACACACACACGCATACAAACACACACAAATACACCCTCAGGGCATCAGGGGATGAAGTCATTTGATGTGAGGGTTTTTCTCTACCTGGGTAATTGTACCAGTGACTCATAAACTTCATAAAGGTCAGCTGTGCTCACATTTCATTGGTCTAAGGAAGCCACATGGCCACAGCTGACATGAATCCTAAACACATGTCATTGGTCAAAGAAGTCTCGTGACCATTGCTTGCATCCACGTGAGGACATGCAGTTCAATCTTGTGTCGGGGCAGAGGCGGAAATATCTGCTAAGCACTACTAATGACTACTCTGTAGCCAAGTGACCTCTGAGCCCATTTCCTCTACTGCAAAATGGACAAGAACATTATTTACCTCACAAGTTGTTGTGAGGGTTAAGTGAGAAACCATAGATGGCATAGGGTAGCCCATGGGTGTGCAAAGTAAAAGCCACCTCCCTCTCCACACTGAGCCGAGGACCAGGGGCATTTGCGTGGGAGAGGCACCCAGCAGGCTCCTTGCTGCCCACAAACACCCTCACCCCCAAGGTCCCACAAAGTGGTTCCGCCTCACCTCCCTGCAACACTTGGGCCAAGCAAACCTCACCTCCAACTGCCCTGCACCCCAGCCTCATTCATGCTCACCCCCAGGACTTTCTCTCCCTGGTGGCTGGAATGCTTGCTCATGCTCACACAGCAGCAAGCGGCAGAGCTGGGATTTGCACCCTACTCCTCCATTTGTTACCCTGTACAGATTTGACTTTTCTCTGAATCACAGGCTCGTCTATAACCCCACCTTGGATGTGCAGCCTTAGGGTTGTCAGTGCAGTTGTGGAAGGTTCTTTGCTTCAAGAGTGTAACAGGGACTGAATTTTTCATCCCTGTTCAGCCCCGAGCTTCCATGTAACTCTGGACAAGCCTCTACTGCTCTTCACCTTATTTAGCTGTTGGACTAGATGATCTTGGCGGGGCAGGGGTGGGGGGTGGGTGGGGGGAGGTCTTTGCAGCTCTTGGATTCTGTGACATTGAGAATCCCACACCTGTCCTGCCTTTGGACCTAATGCTGAACAGAAGGTACTGCAAAGTAGAAGGGTGGATCAAGATTCCACGTTTGAGGTTATATGGAGTATTAATTAAACCCTCATTAACATTTGGAACCAAAAATAGTTTGCTTGCTTTTCTTCTTCTTTTTTTTTTTGAGGACTGACGGAGTGTTTATAATCTACAACAGTTCTCTCTCTTGCTATTTTTAACAAATTCTGCAACTAAGTCTGTCCTCTCCTATAACAGAGGAAGTCAGGCCGAGCAGGCGCTTGAGCTAAGATTTCTGAGTCTGTATCCCAAGGGACACTCTCAGGGCGGCTGAGCTCCTGCTGGCAGCAGACCTGGGCTCCATCTCCAGGTGGGCATTGGAGGTAGTGGCTGGCCCACCCTAGTCAGGATGTCTGTTCGCCCATGGAGCCCAGCACAGCTTCTGGGGGTTGGGACTGAGGTCCAGGACTCTGTACCTCCCACCCCCCAGAGTTTCCTGTCAATGTCAGATAGCACAGGCAAACACTAAGAGGGATAAAAGCAGAGAGGACTTAAGCTCAGGTCACAGAGGTACCTCTTGGGGGTTTTCTTTCTGAGCATTTCTGCTGAGAACTGGGGTGTGCCCGACCAGATGGCTGCCCCAAGTTGCTGCTGGAGTATTTTAACTACAGTAGTGTGGGAGCTTCCTGCCTCGGAGAGGAGCCCCCAGGCTCCCATCTGCCCAGACGCCCACAGCTCCTGTCAAGAGAGATGATGGAGGACCCAAGATGCCTTGGGGTGGGAGGAAGGGCCTCAGTCAGGACAAGAGCTGGGGCCAAGCGTCCAATGTGGGGAGGGTGATCAGGGCTGAATGGGGTCATGTGTGTACATGCACGTGTGTGCGTGTGTGTGTCTGTGTTCCATGTGACTTTGCCTTTTCTGTCAGGCCACAGGACAAGTTTGATTATGGGATAGACAGGCATATAGGTAGCAGATCAGGAGAAACTTCATGGATTGGGAAAGAAGAAAGAAAAAGAGCAGCAGAAGGTAGAAAGAGCGGGAACAACCAGAGAGAAGAGAGTGGGTGTGGAACTGGATAGAGACTCAAGCAAGGGCAGGGTTATCCGAGGCTTCCTCTGATCCAGAAACCTAAATGTTCCCTGCTGTGGCTGCAGCCTCTTTCCTACCCGCGCCCCCCCCCCCCAATCTGACCTCAGTGCCTCACCACTGAGCAGCACCACCCAGGAGTCAGGTCCCAGGTGTCTTCCTGCTCCTCCTAGTTTGACACCTATGACCGGGAGAGTGGCACAGGGGGCAGGCCACGCCTGGTGCCACATCCCAGCAGGGAGTCATTGGGTTACATAGTCCGTATTCGCAGAAGTTAGAGGGGACCTACTGGAGGCAGGAAGTGAGTCAGGGGGCCCAGAGAAGTTCAGTCTGGTGACAGCAAAGCAGCTTCGGGAAAAGCAGCATTGTCATCTGGATGGGCAAGTCCGAAGCTGGGCCAGTCCAGCTCCTTGCCCTGGGCAGTGACTGGAAGTGATCTGGGAACCTGGTACCGGAATCTTCAAATCCTCAGTCTGTTGCTTATATGCTGTTGCTTATATGCTGAGTGAGACTCAGTTTCTCCACCTGAGAAACTAAAACAGCATCAAGAAGCTTCGCCTCACAGGTTATGAGAATGAAGAATAGGCAAAAAAGCACCTGTTCATGCAGATGGTCCATACATGTGAATCTCTTCCCCCTGGGGAGGGATCATTTGTGATTTAAGCCAACGCTATTCTGGCCTTCTGCTCTGGGGGTGTGGGGATCACCCACTGGCCCCAGAGAGTATCCTCAGGGTTCACATGCTAGTAGAAGGTGTGGGATTCCACCAGGACCTGCTTCCACAACCCTACACTTGGGCCACTGCTGGTGGTGCTCCAGTTTTCAGTTAGGATGGGGAGGGAGGAGTTGTTGGTGGTGTTCTTGAGATTATCTTTGTTTTTGGCTTGATCTTAACAGGTCACATCAGACTGGGATCTGGGTGACTGGATGGGGCAGTTATGTGTGGGGTGGGGAGGAAAAGGTAAAGATGACGCCAGCAGATGCATCCCCAGGCTCTGTCCCATAGCGTCCCCAGGCCCTGTCCCATACCCATGCCAAAATCTCTGGCAGGGTTTCATCATCTGAGGGTGATGCAAGAGGCCTGGACTCAGCTCCCCTTCCTCCTCTCCCACTGCTCCCCTTCCTCCCCTCCCCCTGAGAGTCTTCACATCTGGGGCCCTTGCCAGGGGAGGGAGCTGGTGGAAGTGAGGGAAGGGACAGCATTTGGTGAGGGGCCTGTAGAGGGCACCCAAGTTGGGGGTTGTTGGGGGTTGGGGTCAGGCTCCCGAGAGAGTGGACAATGACTTGCAAGGGATTGGTCTTTCCAGTCTCCATCACTGCCCTGTGTTTAAAGTCCCCAGGGCTCCCCCGGCTCTTTATCTCTAGATAAAGCTGCTGTTCTCCTATTCCCCTGCCGACCCACCTCACCCCCACCCCCACCAGCCAGCCTCCTACCAGGTACCAAGACCAGTACCCTCTTTGTTCCCTCCTCGTGGGACAGCTCAGGCCACCCACACTGACCCTCTGCCCCTAACTCCACACGCTGAGTAAAAGCCAGGCCTAGGAGAGGGTCTTTGCTAGGTCACAAAGGTCAGTGGGGTCACAGTGGTCTAGCAGAAGGGAGGGGAGAGACTGAAAGGACCCGGGCCAGGAATCAACCGAACGATGCGTTTTACATTGCAGCAGTTGGAGGTGGAGGGATCTGTAGTTTAGAAGACTCTTCCTCAATAAAGCTTGGCAGATTTACTGGAATAAACGCAGAAGGGAAGTTTGCCAGGTTCTTTCAAAATGTAAACCGCTAATCGCTGTGTGATGCTTTGAAGTGAGACCTAGGTTCTTACCCGCGCGTAGCCACCAGCTCCCTGTGTGACCTTGGGTAATTCCCCTCTCCCCGTCCCAGTTGCCTCGTTTATGAAAAAGGGGTCCCACCGACGCCGAGGCTCTGCGGCTCCGAGGGCCCACGCTTCGGCAGGGTCAGATTATGGGTCCCCGCCCTGGGTCCCCGCCCACCCCTCCAATCCCGACACCCCCAGCCCGCGGGTGGCGGAGAGCCAAGAGGTCCCTTTAAAGGCTCAAGTCCCGCCCCTGCTGCGGGTTTTGGCCTTCGATTGGGTGACTCTGGGCCGGGGCGGGGTCCGGCGCGGGCTCGGTGGGGTTCGGGGGCGGGCCCTGGGCCGGGCCGGCCCCCGCCCCCTTTGTTCGTGAGGCGGCGGGAGGTGGCAGTGAGGGTGGGAGGTGTGTGCGCGCGTGTGCCGCGCGGTGGGGAGTGGCGGGTCGCGCCGCGGGCTGTCAAGATAGCTCCGCGCCGCCGCCCGATGGCGCGAGGAGGTGCGCGGGCCCCGCTCGGGGGGGCCTCCCCCGACCGCGGGTGAGACCCTCTGCCTGCCGCCCGCGAGTATGTCACCTACAGTCGCCGTGGCAGCCTCCGCCAGCAGTGCCCGCGTCCCCGCCTCCCGCAGCCGCTGCCGCTGCCTGGGACAGTGGCCCCCAGACCCCCGCCCCTGATCCACGCCCAGACCCGAGCGCCCGAGGACCATGGCCGGCCAGGGCGACTGCTGCGTCAAGGTGGCCGTCAGGTAGGGACCCACGACCCAGAACGAGGGGTGCTCGGAGGGGCTCGGGCTTTGTCTCGCGTGGGCGCCGGGCCGGGGGCTCTCGAGCTCGCCCGTGGCGAGAAGGGCCCGGCGTGGGGCTGGCTGGAGGCTGGAGGGCGCTGCGCGGTGGCTCGGATGCCGCAGGGAGCGGCGGTCCCGCGGGCTACTGGAAGGGGGCTTTGTTTGGGTGGTAATTTCGGGCCCCTCTTGGGAGCCCTTAATGATCAGAAAATCGAATAAACAAGGAAATCCGGTATTTCACACCCAGCCCTGGCCCAAGCTAGAGCGTCTGTGCGTTTCCTCTTCGCCTCCCCATGGGGCTGCTGTCTCCAACGGGCAAGTGTGTGTGTGTGGGTGTGTGTGGGGGGGGGGGTGGCGTGGGGGGTAATCCCCTTCATCCACGCTCTTCAGATTGTTCGGAGCTCGTGGTACAGAGGGCTAGGAAGGCAGCCCATTGCTCCCGGAGTCGCTTCTGCAGACAATGATCAGCGCAGAAAGAACTGGGATGGTGCCTAGGCCTTCCCAGGGGAATCAACCGCTTTGGCTTTTAGAGAAAACCCTGCCGGCTCTGTCCCGAGAGGAGATGAGGCTGGCAGAGGGGGGGAAGGTGTAGCTGAGGCTCTGCCTTGTGCCAGGAGGGTGTGACCTGAAGGGTTACCCTAGTCCCTCAGATCACACTGAGCAGCAAAGGGCTGCCTGGTACTTACCTGGAACTTGACATGATATCCTGACAGAACTGAAGTGGGGGAGGCCTTGGATGGGGGTTTTATTGGAAGGGGTACTCAAGTGCAGGGCAGGAAACACTGCAAAGTTGGATCCTTTGTGTGGGTGGAGACTCCTTGACACCACCTCTCCCTGCGTTTGTTTTGGGGTGTTCTCTTTGAAAGGGGTCTGTTTGTGGGAACATCTGGGACTGAGGTCACTACCAGGAGCATCCATCTCTGCCTGGGCACTGTGTGATTTGGGGGTGGGGAGGTTAGGTCCAGGGTAGGTCCCTGAGTCAGGTATTCAGACCCCTGGCCATAGATGACCCAAATTCCGGGAGTCCCATGAAGTCACTCTAGATAAGGTCAGGATGACTATGGACAAGATTCCCCAGGGCCACCTGACCAGCATTCTGCGGGCTGAGGAGGAGGAGTGGACACAGCTTTGGGGTCAAGGGGGTGCGATGGCTCTCCTTACACCCATGGCCCCAGGCTGCACTCAGCATCATAGAGCACAGTCTCACTGGCCCAGAATAGCCTGGAGAGACAAAGAGGAGCCTTGCAGGTGCCTGGTGGGTTGGCTGGGGCGGGGCCAGGCTGCTGCTGGGGCTGACACTGCAGTAGGATCCAGAGGAGGTTGGGAGAGGGAGGTACTGGAGTGGGGGTGGGAGTGTGAAATGTAAATATGACATCTGCAGCGACTGGGGGAGTCTGAATGCATCATAAAAGGGGAACGGAGCCCTGGCCCCCACCCACTGTGAACCTGGGCCCGGAAGGGAGGGGAGGCTTGGGGGGCCCCTCCTTTGAGGGCTTTCCTTTGGCCTCCATCTTGCAGGAAAGAGCCAAACAAAGCCCCCCACCCACAGGCGCCCCAGGCCTGCCTGGGGCATGCTGAGGTGAGGGGAAGCTCTGTAGGCTGGCACTGCTGTGTAGAGGAGTGGGGGAAAATTGGTGTTCCCTTCCACCACCATCAGAAGCTCCCCTCTGTATAGAGGGGCCATTGTGCCTGCCCACAGCACCCAGTCCTTGGGAATGATAAGATATCATCTCTGCCCCATCATCTCCAGGTCCCCAATGGGACCCGGCTGCCCCCACTCCTTGCCTGGAGTTGCTCATCTAGGTTGAGGAGTGGGAGATTTGAGCCTTAGAAGAGCTGAGCATCCAGGATCTCTTGATCCCCGCCACTGCGCGCCGCCCCCCCCCCCCGCCAGCCATATACACACACACACACACACAGTAATGAGTGCCCAGCCCGGCACACGCCAGACCTCAATGGGCAGCGGGCCGTGGAAGGCAGACAATGCCTGGACAGAACCCAGCTTCTAATCAGAGAACTGGGGATAGGAAGGGACCACGGCTGGGACTGGGACTGGAGAGCAGATGGTGTCACTGACTGTAGGGGAGAGTGCTCATGCTCTGGGATGTCCTACCCACCCCCCACTGTACCCCTGGAAACCACTCATCCCACCTAAAGAACTGGGTACTGGGCTGGAGCAGAGCAGAGCATTGTGGGAGAGAACCAAGGATCTGGGGTGGCTAAGTGCCTAGTGCAGTGTCCATTACCACGTGTCCTGCCAGGTTCTGCTGTGTTTTCTGAGTTTCTGAAGTCCTCTCTGGTATCTACCTGAAGTGCTTTCTAAGTTCCTATGAGAATAACTTGTGGCAAAACCTGAGCTGGGACAGGAAAGCCAGAAATGAGCCAGACTGGGTCCATGTGCACATATGTGCGTGTGTAAAAGAGAGAAGGCAACAGCTGGCCATCTGGAGATCTCTGAGGGGAAGGCCTGAGCTCAGGAGTGTCTGGAGGAAGCCTCAGGGCCAGGGGCTATGGGATAAGCGGAGAAGGTCGAGGTGTGAGCAGGTCCAGGGCCTCCCTGGAGTCTGGTGGATCTGTCCCTGAATCCAGGTTAGTTGCTTTGTTCAAGGAAACCCAGGCTGGCCTGCCGCGGGAGTCCTTTCTCCATCATGCCCTGCTGTGGTCAGGATACTCTCAGCAACCTGGGCCTGTGGCTGGCCTGGAGACAGCTCTACCTGGGGGAGGGGGGATTGCTGGAGAGAGGTGAGGGTGAGCTGTGACCTGCCTCAGCAAAAACAGGACTGATTAATGCAAGGAGAGGGGAGGGGGCTGCTAGGAAATGCAGGCTGGCGAAGTGGAATTGGGGAAGGAAGTCAAGTCACGTGGTCCTTTTACTTAAGACCCTTTCAAGCCCCCAGCTGAGTCCCTACTTTGAGAGGAGCCCGTAGTGTGGCCTAGTCCCCTCCCCCATTATCTCTGCTGGGTTTCCTTAAGCTTCCGCCCTGCCCTTAGTCTGCCGGGGAGGGGAGGGGAGGGGAGACGCTCAGCCAGTCCCACATCCATCTGTGGACACTGCTGGGTTGAGTAGGGGTGAGGGGGGTCCCAGCCTGGGAGCCAAAGTGTCATGTTCTGTTGCACCCCTGCCTCCCCCACTTGGATTCTCTAGCTGCAGGTGTTGCCTTCCTTCCAGGCTACTCTGACTTCTTGGTCAGTATCTTCTGAATCTTGAATCAAGAAAACTGGTGGCTTGGAACAGAGAGACTAAGGAGACCGAAGAAACTGAGTGGGGGTGGGGATCGGCGTGCCTTCAGAGTCCACCCCCTGCCTGATGGGGCCCAAGGTGGGCAGGGCTGGCAGTGCCACCTGTGCCCCATGCTGTCCAGCTTCAAGACAGGGACACTGAGACCCAGAAGGGACTTCGTGTGGAGACCTGAGGAGCTTGGTGGCCTCCTGCTGCAGAAAGAGGGCTTTATGTCATCACAAGGAAGTGCAGTGGAGTAACCACAGGCCCCCGGAAACCGGCCCCTCCACCCCGCCAGCCTGCCTGATTGGCTCTCAGCTTTTGAAAACCTCCCGAGGAGCAGTGTGGGTGGGGCAGAGTATGGGGAAGTGGCAGAGAAAACCGGGGCCTGGGCCCCGACTGGTGCAGCATAGTACAGCATACAGCGCCCGCCCGGGGCAGAGCGAGGGGCTGGGGCTGAGGCTGAGACTGCTTTTAACTGGCTGGGCTTGGGTGGGGTGGGGGGCGCGGAAGAGGGGAGCTTTGCTGTTTGTCCTTTGGGGGCCTCAGTTTTCCTGCTGTAGAATGGGAACAGCTCACTTGCCATGGTTTGCTCATTTGTGAAGAGCAGTGGCTTGGATGCACCAGAAGGCATTGATTTTATATATATATATATATATATATATATATATATATATATAATTACTTCATTTTGTGCCTTTTTCCATCTCAGCTGCAATCCCCGTGGGCTTCCCATCACCAAATCACTCATGTGCCATCACCATAGTCCCGTGCACTTCGCAAACCCCGCCCCCTCCATTTTTTATTCCATTCCCCACTCCACCCTTGAAAAATATCTCTAGTATATAGTTGTTCATTATTATTTTTTTTCTCCCCTGGTCCTTTATGCTCCTGCTATGAGTGAAACCATCTGGTATTTTTCTTTTTCTTTCTGGCTTATTTCACTCAGCATGATCCCTTCCAGCTCCATCCATGTTGCTGCAAAAGGCATGAGTTTGCCTTTTTTGATTGCTGAGTAATATTCCATTGTATATATGTACCACATCTTTTTAATAGAAGGCATTGGTTCTTAGAGGGTTGAACCCTGAGGTGTGGAGTATGCATGAAATGTCTTAAAAATAAACCCTAACTTGAAGTGTAACCTAGGAGGTGTCTCTGGTTTTCACTGCAGTGACGGATAGGTAACATGAAGACAGCAGCCCTTGTGTGTGTGGCTCATCTCTGTTGTCTGTCTAGCTCACTAACTAGCTAGCTACCACCTCTCTATTTCTATGACAGGAAGCACTTTGTGATGGAAGGGAGCCTGAGCTAGCAGGCGGTTGGTTGTTCATTAAGCACCTTCTCATGGGCCCGGCATGGTGCCCACACTACCCTGTTAGATCTGCTGTAGCCCCTCAAGGAACAGATGGCGCTCCATGGCACAGATGAGCACACACTCCTGGTCAGTGAATGGAGTTAAATTTGAACCCAGGAACTATCACCCTGAACCACGTGCACCTCCCTCGGCTCTCAACCACCTCCTGATTTAGCAGCTAAGTAGTTCTCTGCTGAGCCAGTGTCTCAGCTACTTCAGTTACTTTACTGAGTGGCCATGACCTTCAATGTGGAAAGTACTTGGGAAGGTGTACACGGTGCCCTGGGAATGCATGGCAAGGGGTGAGGTGTGGGATTTCCCTTTAGGGGGCTTCTGTCCCAGGATGGTCCTAGCTCCTAAATGTGTACTGTTCCTGCTGTGTTTGGG